ACTTCACAAACCGAGGCGGCGAGCAGGAGGGGCCCTTCATCCAGCGGTGGATTGAGAAGAGGATGTGACAATTGCGAACACGGAGCGGAGAGCGAACGCGATGCAGGCCGATCCGGGGTAGGGGTGGGGGGGTAGCGTGCCCTGCGCTGTCGCTTCGTGCCGGTCTCGTCAGGGTTACATCGGCTTCGTGTTGCATTCACAGCCAGCAAGCACCGTCTTTGCCGTTAATACATCGCGCGTACATTCGTTCATCGATTATCGCTATGCGTACACGCATATATCAATCGTGCAGATTTGAAAGATGAATATTAGGCCCGGGTGATTGCGAACGCACGATAAGTGTCCACTCCGCACTCGGAGCGCAACAATTCGATTGCAATTGCAGCGCATTTGAGTCACAACGTTTCGCGAGTACATTGACTGGCGCACACACGAATGTACACTGCTCGTGTGGAACACACGCACGGACACACACACTCTCACACACGGACACACTCACTCTCGCACAGGGACACACACACACTCACACACGGACACACACTCGCACACGGACACACACACTCACACACGGACACACACACTCCCACTCACACATGCACACACACACTCCCACTCACACATGCACACACACACACTCCCACTCACACATGCACACACACACACTCCCACTCACACATGCACACACACACTCCCACTCACACACGCACACTGACACATACACACACTCACACATGCACACACACTCCCACTCACACATGCACACACACACAGTCCCGCTCACACATGCACACACACACACTCACACTGACACACACACACTCACACACGCACACTGACACATACACACACTCACACGCATACTGACACACTCACACACGCACACTGACACATACACACACATAACAACAGCAGCCGCCGTTCGCCGCTACGTGGCGGTGTCGTGAGCACTTCGCCTGTGCCAGGCCAGGTGCACCCGAGGCCACGTGTAGTTGTGGGACGCTCTCTCACAGAAATGTCAGTGAGATGAGATGACGGGCAGATGCAACACTTTATTTTAAAACCGAGTAACCACGGTATACAAACACACACACACATACATACACACTCATATACATATACAAACACACATACACACTCATATACATATACAAACACACACATAAACACTCATATACATATACAAATATATTCCCACACAAGACAACGGTCCCCCGTATAATCTTAACAGACTGTTGGGGCAAGTGCTGTCAGCGAGCATCTATGAAGGCCAGGACGGCACACGAGGGGGTGCTTGGCCAGCACCACGCCCGACCGCCTTTGTCTCCCCAATATTGATGTTTACACACTGCACCAGGTGTGCTACCCTCCGATTAGCACGGCTTGCTACGTACGGTACGAAAGAAGTTCAACATATATGCATACTCATTTGAGGCTGAGTCGATCTATAGAAGGCCCAGGACCGGTTAACATATTCACCACTGTTACTGGTTGTGAGCAGGAATCGAACTTGGGTGGCCAGCTTCGTAGTGCAGCGCGCTCAACTCTCCAATAACTCTCGCCACACATACACACACGTGCCCACTCAGACACACACAATTACTTACACATACTGTACTGTACACGCATACGCACACATTTCCACTCACACATACACACATGCACTCGCACACTCACTAAGACGCCCATACAACATGCAGACACCTACGATATACATTGACTAACACACATTCTCGCAGTCACACATGCATTCACGAATTCCCACACACTCGCAACAACAACAACCGCCATTCGCCACTAAGTGGCGGAGACGTCACCACGACGCTTGTGCCAGGCCATGTGCACTCGCAAACACACCCACACATCCACTCCTACTCACATACCCACTCATCCACTCCCACACACAGACCCACACAACAACAACAACCGCCATTCGCCACTAAGTGGCGGTGACGTCACCACGACGCTTGTGCCAGGCTATGTGCACCCTGAGGCCACGTGAAGTGTCGAACGCCCGCTGGCAGGAGGTCACGGGGCAGACCCAGGTGCCACGGGTCGACTGACTGAGATGACACACATACATACACACACACACCCACACATCCACTCCTACACACACACACCCACTCCTTCACACACCCACTCCCACACATACACCCACCCACGCGAAACGCTCTCTCGCACGCACGCACACACACGGTTTCGCACACACACACACACACGCTTTCGCACACACATACACGCTCAGATACAAAACACGTACACTTTAACGCACAATTTAACTCATAATAAACACAACGATCACCCATATAGCATTTAACAGACTGTTGGGGAAAGTTCTGTTAGCGATCACATATGAAGGCCGGAGTGGGTGGCTAACACCACGCCCGAGCGCCTTTGTCTCCCTAATGGTGATGTTTACACACCGCATCAGGTACTGTACTCATACAAGGCTGAGTCGACTTAGGAGAGGCCCAGTCCTGGTTCATAAACTTGGCATTGTCATTGGTCGCGAGCTTGAATTGAACACGGGACAAAGGGGGTTTAAGCGCAGTGCGCTAACCACTGCACTACCGGTCCCCCCCACACACACTGACCCCGCACACAGTCACACATAAACACACACGCACACTCTCTCCATACACACTCCCACAAACACACATTCATACTCTCACGCACAGCACACCTTCACAGACACGCACCACCACTCACACTGTCTCTCATACACACACGCACACTTTTACACACACTCTCTCACATACGTTCACGCATGCACTGTCTGTTACACTCACATACTCTCATATAGATTCACACACACACACTGTCTCCACACTCTCCAGCGTGGTGAAGTATGGTCAAACACTGTTTCACACCCTCTCTCACACTCTGACACTCACAAGACAAATACAAAGATCCCCCGTATAGCCTTAACATACTGTTGGGGTAAGTGCTGTTAGTGAGCAACCTATGAAGGCCGGCACGGCACACGAGGAGGTGGGTGGCCAGCACCTGACGCACACTCACAAACTTACACACCCACACACTTACACACCCACACACTCACACACACACTTACACACTCTCACACCACACACACACTTACACACTCTCACCCACACTCACACTTACACACTCTCACCCACGCACACACATACACACTCTCACCCACACTTACACACTCTCACCCACACTCACACACTCTCACCCACACTTACACACTCTCACCCACACACACACTTATACACTCATACCCTCACCCACACTCTCACCCTCACACTCTCACCCACACCCTCACCCACACCCACACTCACATCCACACTGACAACCTCACCCACACTCTCACCCTCATACACACTCACACTCTCACCCACACTCTCACCCACACCCTCACCCACACCCTCACACACACTCTCACCCACACCCTCACCCACACCCTCACACACACTCTCACCCACACCCTCACCCACACCCTCTCACACACTCTCACCCACATCCTCACACACACCCTCACCCACACTCTCACCCATACCCACACTCTCACCCACACCCTCACCCACTCCCTCACACTCTCACCCTCACCCACACTCTCAACCACACCCATACCCTCACCCACACTCTCACCCACACTCTCACCCACACTCTCACACACACCCACACCCTCACCCACACCCTCACACACACTCTCACACACACCCTCACCCACACCCTCACCCACATCCACACCCTCACACACACTCACACACATTCTCACACACACCCTCACCCACACCCTCACATACACTCTCACATACACACACCCTCACCCACACCCTCACCCACACCCTCACACACACTCTCACACACATCCTCACACACACCCTCACACACACCCTCACACACACCCTCACACACACCCTCACCCTCACACACACCCTCACACACACTCTCACACACACCCTCACACACACTCTCACACACACCCTCACACACACCCTCACCCACACACACACCCTCACGCACACCCTCACACACACCCTCACCCTCACACACACTCTCACCCTCACACACACCCTCACACACACCCTCACACACTCTCACCCTCACACACACCCTCACACACACCCTCACACACACCCTCACACACCCTCACACACACACCCTCAAACACACCCTTACACACACCCTCACACACACCCTCACACACTCTCACCCTCACACACACCCTCACACACACCCTCACCCACACTCTCACACACACCCTCACACACACCCTCACCCACACCCTCACCCACACCCTCACACACACCCTCACACACACCCTCACCCACACTCTCACACACACCCTCACACACACCCTCACACACACCCTCACACACACCCTCACACACACCCTCACCCACACTCTCACACACACCCTCACCCACACCCTCACCCACACCCTCACCCACTCACGCACGCGAGTCGCGCCGCGCTATCCACGAGAGCAGCCCGGCCCGGCCCGCTCCGTGCGCTCTGCCCACGGCCGCGCGGCCCCGCCGCGCCACCTCGCAAAGGGGCCGCCTCAGCCCTCGCCTCGCCGCTGATCAGCGCTGCCTGACGGCCGCCCAGACATCAACATTAGCCGCGAGCAGATGGAAAGGGGTCGCGGTACGGGTCAAGGTCGGCCCCGCCTGCCATTGATTCGGCGGTTTGATGGATGGCGGCCGCCTCGCCCCGGCACCCGGCCCTAGGTCCGGCACTGGGAGCGCAAACAATTAAAAAAAACACAGAGAGAGAGAGAGAGCGGCCCGGGACAACGACGCCGGTGCCATGAACACACAGACAGCACCCCCCCCCACCACTCACTCCACCCAGCTCCCCACACCCCCGCGCCCTGTCTCAACACCACGAACCCCGCCGGTCACACACACACATATATATAAATCACTAGAACATACCTAGCACATTTTAAACTTATAACATTAGGCCATTACTTATTTACTAATTGCAGTGTGAGGTGCGCGCGGTGTAGGCGCCCTCCCTACCCGCACGAGTCCCGGCGATGACCACGGAGCTCCTCCGCTGGCTCTCTGTGGCCCGCGTCCCCTCGCCCGTACACGCCGCCCGTCAGGAGCAGCGCGCTTTGCTGAGCGCGCGTTCACGTGTACTGCACGCCCGATGCCGACAGTAAACCTCCAGTACACCTCCAGTACACCTACAGTACACCTGTGTAAACAGCGCCGCAGGTGAGGCCCGCGAACCGCGCGCGCGGCGTGGATAGCGGAGAGGGGAACGCGGTGCGGGGGCCGCCCCGCAACGCTCGCTGCCCGACCCCCCTCCCCCCCGTGGCTCTCGGTATGTACTTCGGTGTACGGCTGCGACGGGCGGTTTCCGATTTAAGTAAATAAATAAAATAACTTGCTGCTGCTGTTGTTGCTGGCGATGCCACCGCTGCCTCCTCCGCCGCTGCTGCTGCTGCTCGAGCGATGTCGAGAAGCGAGCGAGATGATGCCGAGCGGCGCAGCAGCGCATTAGCTGAGCGCGCGAGATCCCACTCAGAGCGGCGCGCCCAATAAATAACACAGCGCGCGCATAACATTACACACATTACACACCCGGCGTCTCTTGCTGCATGCGCCTGTGTGGTGGAGCACGGCTGGGTAGAGTGGCGGGGGCTGCTTTGTGTGCTGGATGGCTGGCTTCGGCAGGGTGGTTATTGGAGAAAGAGGTAGGGGGGGGGAGATGTAGGGATGATAGTGGCTGTGGTAATGGTGGTAGTGATGATGATGCCGGTGTTATGAAGGGTTGAAACAAAGTGTGGGTTGTAGGAGGTGATGTTGAGGAAGTGCCCCGTGGAAGCGTCTGTGTGCAGCGTTATCTATCCATCGGATGCGCGTGCTGCTTGATTGAAATCGGCGCTTTGACACACACGGCGGTCACGTGTGTGTTTATTTTGGACGCGGACGCATCCGCACATCCAAGCGTGCGTGTTTGGCGTTTTATATATTTATTTAATTACTGTATTTCGCAGTGTCCATCGCCTTCACCGCTTCTCGCCTTCAAAAGAAGAGCGGGATCAATATTGTCTGCGGGACTGAGAGAGTGAAAACGGCTCCTGGATCGATTCAATCCATGCCGGCTAACCTCAGAGGCACCCAACGTCTACTCAGCCGGTCACTTTAATGGGCTGCCTGGTCAATAATGCAGGGGTCGCCAGCCTTAACCCCGCGCCGTTTCGCCTGCCTGACTTTGAAAGCCTTTGAATAATCAGACCGAGGTCACAGGCATGGCTAACTTCAAGCGTGGAAGGAAACACTGATCGAAGGCATGTTCACTAACATACAAAAGTAATTGTGCCTACGGCTCATTTTTTTCGTGGAAGCCCTCCTTTCGAGCAAAGCGAGAGGCTCTGTTGTCCGCGAATCGATGGTTATAATAGAAGCCCGCGCTGTTTTGATTGTCCAGATCAATTAAAATGGTAAGCGTGCGACGGTGGCGACTCCGCGTCTGTGCAGCAGCCTCGGTACGCGCGGCTATCTCTCTCTCTCGCCCTCTTCTCTCTCTCTCGCGCGCTCTCCCTCTGTCTACCTCTGCATTTGTTTTGCCTCTCCCTCTCTCCCTCCCTTCTCTCTGCCTCGCGGGATGTATCGGCGATGGACCCGCAGCCAGCGGATGCATCGGCAACCGCTCCTCTGCGGCCGCGCGCAGCAGAGGCAGCGGCGGCGACAGCGTCTGAAGCGGCCAGGGAGGGACCCCTGCGCGCCGCGCCGAGACCCACGTCTCGCGTGGCGTCCAAGTTCGAGTTGAGGGGTGGCGGCGGCGGGGCTCGAGGTTGGGGAGGGGGGAGCGGCGGGGCGGGCGGGGTGGAGGGAGGGAGAGGTTGGGGGAGTGGGGGTGGCGGTGTGGCAGAGGGCGGGAGGCGAGGCTGCTGGGGGTGAGGGTGGAGAGAGGGAGGGAGAGGGTTCTGCGCTTTGTGTGTGCCCGTGCGTGCGTGCGCGCGCGTGTGCGTGAGTGTGCGTGCGTCTTGGGAGGATGGTGAGGGTACGTGAGAGTGCGTGAGCCCGCGCGCGCGCGTGTGTGTGTGTTGGCAGGGAGCGAGAGGGTGCCGAGGGTAGGCGCGCGCGTGCGTGTGTCGGCGAGTGGAGGCGAAGGCTGGTGAGGAGGGTGCGCGCGTGTGTGTGTGTGTGCGCGCTTGGGGAGGCGGAGGAGGGCGGCTGGGAAGCGGCGAGCGGGAGGCGCGCGGGGTGGTGTCGTGCGGAGGAGGGGATGCGAGGCGAGGCGAGGGGAGGGAGCAAGGATAGGGGAGGAGGGGACCGCGAGAGAGGGACGCGCCGAGCCAGTGTACTTGAACTTAGAGGTTACATTCCCCCCTCGCGCGTCGCATCACGGCAGCGCTATCCCCGCAATCCGCGTCCCACCTCCTCCCCCCTCTCTCCCCACCCCCTCAGCCACCCACAGACCCCCCCGTCCTGCCCCCGCCCGCCATCTTTGTATTATTTCCGATTTATTTTATGTCGCGCGCGGCCATTGAGGAGCTGATTTTCTCCGGACCAGAGCCGCGCTCGTCGATGTGACCACTGGGCGAGTGCGGCCACCATGTCGCGCCGCAAGCAGGGCAAGCCGCAGCACCTTAGCAAGCGGGACTTCTCGCGTGAGTCCCCGCCACTCGCCGACACCGACACCGCCGCCGCCGCTGCTGCACGATCCCACTGCAAGCATTGTTTTAAGATAACCGCACTTAATATTACCGCTGCTGCTGCTGCTGCCGCCTGCCTGCCTGCCTGCTCCCACTTCTGCCGTGACACCGAACACTTACCGCTCTGCTGTTTCGCGCTGTTCCCGCCGCCGCTGCTTTTTAAAACAAAACCAAAAACTGCTCGGCTTTGCTTTTTCTCTTCTTTGGTTCGCGTGGGCAGTTTTGAGTGTCGCCGCTCTTCGTGCTGTTCCCATCACCGATGGCTCGCGCTGTGTGCTCATCTGTGTTGTAACTAAAAACAACTGTCTCCATTCTAGGATTAATTGTGCCCAGCGTCGCTGTGATGATCCTGGTTGTTACATCGGTAGCTCTCTGTGTGTGTGTGTGTTAGGCTGTGTGCTTGCGTGCGCGCGCGCGTGTGTGTGTCATACAAACATTGCCGTGCGTTCGATGGGTTGCGGCTATTGGCGACGGACGGATGCGCTGGACAGCCGGCGTAGTCGTTGCTGCAGCGCTGGTAGCAGTGTTGGTAGTCGTGGTGGTGGTAGTCGTGGTGGTCGTGGTAGTCGTGGTGGCAGTGCCGGTCTGAAGGGTGCCTCGCTCGGGAAGCTCGCGGGGTCCGGCGCGGAGCTCGAGGCACTTCGCGCGGTGCCGACACCGCGGGCCACTTTTACGCATCCCCAGTCTCTCTCTCTCTCTCGCCTGGGTGGGGGGGGGTCCACGAGTGGTGTAGTTGCCGTGCGAGTTTGGTGTTTGTTTCCCATCCTGTACTGTGATGCCAAGCCCGGTCTCTCTCTGTCGCGTGTGCTGGGCAGGCGGTACACGTGTGAGTGTGCTTGTGATGTATGTGATGGACCGATGTCTATATATCGTGCGCGTGTGTTGGCAGGGAGTGTGCGTCTGTGTGTATGTCTTGTGTTGGGTGTACGGATGTCTATTTCGTGTGTGTGTTGGCAGGGAGTCTACGTGTGTGTGTGTCACGTAGATTGTATACAGATGCTCATATCATGCGTTGGCACGGAGTGTTATTAATGTATGTCATTTAATTGGTGTACCAATGAATATATCGTGTGTGTGTTGGCAGGGAGTCTACGAGTGTGTGTGGCACGTAAGTGATGAACGAATGTCTGTATCATGCGTTGGCACGGAGTGTATAAACGTGTAACGCCATGTGTACATGTGTACACGCCGTGCTAAATACCCGCATGATGTACGCGTGCATCTGTGTGTGTGTGTGTTTGTACGAACGTACGCTTCGCTATACAGATCGCCAGTGTGTCTGTATGCCGTTAAATATGCATGAATGGATTCATGTAGGCGATGCACTCGAGTACGTTCGCATGTCGATGCGCGCCCGCATTTATCATGCATACTATGCAACGCATGTGCGTTTGTCCGCCTGTGCGTGCGTGAAGCTTCCTTGTGTATGTCTACGTTTGTAGGGCTCAGTAAAGCGACGCCGGTAGGCAGGAGAGGGCAGAAGAGGTAGTAGGCAGGAAGGGTAGTAGGTAGGTGCTGGCCGGTAGCTGGGGAGTTTGTTCCAACGCTGGTCAGCCCTGACTGGGTACGTGCGCTCTAGAGCCCCGCGTTCCGGGGGAGCCCCGTTATCTGAGTGGGCCGAGGGAGCCGGCTTCGGCTTCTAGCCGGCTTCGGCTTACAGCCGGCTTCAGCTTCCAGCCGGCGTTTCTAAATCGCTTGCGGTCCCGGCGTCCGTCCACATCTCGGTCGCGGCTACGAGCAATCACACCTCCCTTGCCCACAAGGCTCTCACGCAGGCGAGGAATGCATACGAATGCCACCATCACCGCCACTACGAATAATAATAATAACGACGACGACGACGGTGATGTTGCCGATGTTAGTGGTGGTGAAATGTGTCCGCGTGTTCGGTCGGGACAAGCTGTGCGCGTTGCGCGCCCGTGGAACCCTGTGTCGCGAAGATGAGATTCTTGAGGCCTCTCTCTCTGTCTCACCAATTCGCGTTCTTCTCTCGGAAACTCCGCGCTCACTGCCGAGGCGCCCATTTCCCCTACCCGCCGATGTCTCGGATACTGCGTCTGTCTCTGTGGACGTGCGTCCTGTAGACCCGTGTCGATGTAGAGTGAGACACGTGCGTCCTGTGGACCCGTGTCGATGTAGAGTGAGACACGTGCGTCCTGTAGACCCATGTCGATGTAGAGTGAGACACGTGCGTCCTGTAGACCCGTGTCGATGTAGAGTGAGACACGTGCGTCCTGTGGACCCGTGTCGATGTAGAGTGAGACACGTGCGTCCTGTGGACCCGTGTCGATGTAGAGTGAGACACGTGCGTCCTGTAGACCTCGTGTCGATGTAGAGTGAGACACGTGCGTCCTGTGGACCCGTGTCGATGTAGAGTGAGACACGTGCGTCCTGTAGACCCGTGTCGATGTAGAGTGAGACACGTGCGTCCTGTAGACCCGTGTCGATGTAGAGTGAGACACGTGCGTCCTGTGGACCCGTGTCGATGTAGAGTGAGACACGTGCGTCCTGTAGACCCGTGTCGATGTAGAGTGAGACACGTGCGTCCTGTAGACCCGTGTCGATGTAGAGTGAGACACGTGCGTCCTGTAGACCTCGTGTCGATGTAGAGTGAGACACGTGCGTCCTGTGGACCCGTGTCGATGTAGAGTGAGACACGTGCGTCCTCGTGTTGAGCTCATTGCACCTTGGCTGCGTTTGTCTGCGTGTTGAATTGTGTGGCCGAGTGATGCCACTTTTCAGCTCCGTGTAGCGGGTCGGGATTGTTGAATAGTGTCTGGCGATGGTGATGATGATTACGGTGGTAAAGGATGATCCAATTCATTGCACACCGCTTCTGATTTAAGTTCTTGAGATGTCTAAATTGTAAGACTGTGGTTAATAAAACACGTGTGTAGGTGCGCATATCGCGATGCGTTCCTAATCCATTTGTTCAATAAATTTGGCATAATTTGGCATTAATTCCCCAACGTGAAGTGGACATTATAACGACCCTAGATGTTTGCGAAACCAGTTCTGTTCATCAGAACCGATTTAATAAAAAAAAATACGTATGTGACCGCTTATTCGTATGCCGAAGCTAGTATTTACAAATTCCAATTGCGGCGCCTATGAAAATAAAATATAAATGAGATGAATATCGGTCGCTGGTGGTGGGATGGTGGGGTCGGTAGCCTGTGTCTCGCGAAATTGATTTCCCTCCTCTAAATCCACCGATGTGTCTGTGTCCAAGCCTCGTACTCTCACGCGCTCGCTCGCACGCACTCACGCGCACACTCACACACCGTTACACTCAAGCACTCACACGCACTCACGTACGGACATGTTGCGGACATGTACCACTCACAGACGCCGCGAGCTAGCTTTTGATACAAAAATAACAGATGGCAGATATATAACGGCTTTTATATTTGTTCGTTTCTGACATCGCAGCCTACCTAGCTCATTTATATATATAAAAAAACACCCAAGATCGGGCCCTTCTCGTCTGATCACGAAGTCCCAGCCCCGAATATCGAGGTGACGTGGACTGGATAAGGGATCATTGAACGCGGGCGACATTGCCCGCGCCGTGCACCATGATGGGTGAGGCGGTGCTCGTCTGGACGAGTTCGCCGGTGAGGAGTGCGGTGCGCTCATCACACTATGTGCAGCGCGCGGGCAGTGCGCTTCGACAGACGCCCCATCAGTGTCGGGCTTGGGGGGCGGGGGGCTCGTGAGGGGCTGTGTGCGTATATATGTGTGTGTATGTATATATGTGTGTGTGTGTGTCCGTGTGTCTGGTGCATCGAGGTTTTGGGGGGTGGGGGGGGCGATGAATTAACGGATGGTGGGGAAGGGAGTTGTGGGAGAGAGAGGTTGGGAGCATCAAACCGTGCAATGCTTATGGGTGACGATGATCGTGGTGGTGGTGACCATGATGAATTCACTGTTGGCCAGGTGAGGCACGTTAACCCGCGCGGCGCGCGAGTGAGCGCACGCGCCTGGGCTGAAGTCGGGTAACTCGGCTCCGCTAGGATCCCGATGCCCCCCCAAACCCTCAAACCTTACCGCCTTGGGCATCTCTCGCCCTTCTAGTTTAGCGCTCTCCTGCACTGGGTGCTGGCGCTGCAACTCGGCCCGCGCCATGCGGTTGGCACCGAGCCGGCCAGGTGCGCCGCCACGGTGCCCACCGCAGTGCCCATTCCGGTACCCACCGTGGTGCGGAGGAACTCGTGGCTCTGCTCCTGTGATTCACGGAACCGATGTTGATTGCCGTCGTCATTGTTGCCGCCACCGCCGCGGCATTGTTGAATTTCGCATTAACCCTTCACGCGGCCGCGTGGACGAGGAGGAGGCGTGTTCAGCAGACGTGTTCTACACACGCACGTGTGTCCACCGTGTTGCTAGTATACCTGTCTCGTTTACCGCAATGATTAGCCGTGCGCGTGTTATTGCAGTCGATTCCGCTGCGCAATTGAGTCCAGCAGAGCCCCTTCCTTGGAGCCTGGCGACAGCCTCGCGCGCACCCCTTCGTTACGTAACTTGATCGCGGGCAGCGTAGATTAATTAATTAATCAATTGGGAATGCCTCACCTGGCCCAACCGCAAGGCACTCACTTAACCCAGGATCAGCGATGCGATGTTTCATAACATTTTTCCCGCAGAGCGCTGCTCGGCGACGAACGCCCGGGCCACGCTCGCACCGATCCGGCGTCGCCTCTGGAGAAGATTAGTTTGCAGCGTGCTGCGGATGTTATATCCCCACTATTGATTAAAAGGAGTGCTTATTTGAAGTTGCGACTTTACACTTTGACCGTTTTTCGCTTGACCGTTTTAGCGAGTCCCGTGACGCGTCAGCATGTGAATGCGGTGCCTTTATTATTCCGTCGCACACATTATGCGGCAATCGTGTCGTGATCGCCGTCAAGAGACGCGAACAATATTTACGAACGCGCTTCTGGGCAATATGTGAA